TTATTATTTTTTTTTAAGTTTCAATCCCCCTTGACACATCTATTATTAATCAGATTTTTTCAAAATCAGTAGGCGGCTTCGTCCCCTTATAGAGATTAATAAGTCCTAAAAAATTTTATTTATGTTTTTTTTTTTAAATCTTAACCTTCTTAACTTCCCCATTTTTAATCAGATTTTGTTAAAAATAAATATATTTCGTTCCATTGTAGATCTTGATTCTCCTAAAAATTTCAAGTTGATATTGGATGAATATTAAAAATTTTGGTTTGTTGAAAGTAAACCTATAATATTCTTTACAGACTACTGTGTGAAGAGTATAATAATATTTATAATAAAAAGGCAATAAATAAAGTAAAAATATTGATAAGTGCTTCGATTGTTATATTTAAAAAACACAATTCGGAGGAAAATTTCAAAATCTATTAAATTCCTAATTGTCAAAATTGTAGGTGACCCGTTTTTGGTTTGCCGGTCCGTATTTCATCGGTATTTCATAATAAAAAAAGTTGGCAAAAAGTTGGTTTTCTGACCTTTGGCGACTGCTGGCTAGTCAAGTCCTATTAAATTAAGGTCTGACTGACATTTTTATAAACAATATATTATAAATAAATAACTTAATAAGTTTCAGCTTTGGTAAACTACTTATACTGACCAAATTAGACATGTTACGGCATGTTAGTGGTAATGTTGACGCTGCCGGTCTTATTAATTTGCAGCCTGTAATATTTCTATCGTGGGTAGGCAAAGTCAAAAACTTAGATGTCTTATAAGTCGACTTATACTGATTTTCCCACCAAAAAAGGTATTTTTGTAATATATATTATGAAGTCCAAGTTCAATAGCGACCCTATTAGAAAGTATTGACTTATCCCACGTTTTATACCAAGTATAGATGACTGAAACTAATTTACCCAAAATTTTGACTTATACTCCTTTGCCTACACACGATAGTTTTATTAATATACAAACTATATAGTCAAAATTGTAGGAGACCGGTTATTTGCCGGTCCGTACTTTATAACAACTCTCGGTTTTCTGATTTTTGGCGGCTGTTGATTGGTCAAGTCCTATTAGATTGAGGTTTGACTGGCATTTTTATATTTATTAACGTAAAACTATAAATAGTAAAAAAATTAACTTTAGTAAAATTATTGAATTTTTTTGTTCTCGGTCTATAAACTGGAGCAAATGTTTTTCTAAGATGCAAAGCTAAGTACGAGCTGATTTGACACATTAAAAATGTTATTCAGTGGTTGATAAAATGAAGTTTCCAGATATTATTTTCATATTTTTATTAATACATCAAATATCAGAGTTATTGATCGTTTAGGTGTTTTAATGTTATTGTTCAGAAAAAGCTTATACACACCAGTTTTTTTTTTTAAAGTTCCTGCTAAATCAAAATAATGATCTCAATATAACTTATTATGCAATGAGCGAAGTACTATTGTTGGAATTTCTTGTAAATTTGAAATGTATTTAATATCTGCAATGGTAAAAACCGAATATGCATAGAACATAACAGAAAATTATCACTCATACAGTACATCAGAATCTAAAAATAAAATATATTTGTTAAATTAAATATTTTTGTTAATAGCTAGAAGGTAAATTATGCTTTCAGAAACTGATTCATTTTTAATCACTAATTTACAGACTCCAAAGACATGCTTCTAAATACGATTAATCAGGTCAGAAAAAATTATGATGCTTAAGTAAGTTTTGATGTAGGCAACAAAAGCTTGGAATAAGACGGTTTAGGTATCCTGTTTCCATGTTTAGTTTTATTGATTACAGCAAAATTAAGAAAAAGTATTAGTTATTACATAGTGTGAAAGCTATATAATAAATTAATATTGTTACACATTATATTTAGAAGTTTTTTTTTAATTTTGCTGTTTTTAATATTAATGTAGTATTTATTATTGCATACAAAGAGTCAATATTTATTATGAAAACTAATAATACTAAATATTAGACATTCTTTTAATGCTATCATAATTTCATTAAAAATAAAGACTCTTGTTTGCAATATTTGTATTGTTTGTCATTAATAGATTATTCCTTATTGGTGTAAAAAATAATATGAGCTATAGCCCTGTGGAGCGGGCGGACAGAATAGCTCCATCCAAGCATTTACCATCGAGGTGGTAGAAGCCTACCAAATGGTCACTTCCAAAAATGAGGACATCCAGAAACACATCTCGACTACGTTAATAACTTGCAAGATTTAAAAGAGCTGAAAGACATGTCCTATAAGGACCCAGCTTAAGTGATGTGTGGGGGGCAACCCATCCTTTACCACCTTGCAGATACAGATAATTATTGGACACTCCAACAAATTGGTCACCAATTTAAAAATCATGTTTATGTAGGCTTTATTAATGTTAGGTTGTATTAATTATTTATTACAAAAAACCAGCTACTCTGGTGGAATTGGAACCCAACACCACAGGTCACAAGTTGCATATTCCAACTACAGAAGCACTCAACATCCAATGTGGTAATCTGTGATTGACAATTATACAGGATGTCACTATATTCGACCGACAATGCTCTATTCCTGAGAGATCTTGTTAATTGATGAATTTTGATATAGGGACATGAACCCTATAGGGCTTAGTTACCGAGATAAAGGGTGTTAAAAGTTTTAAATCAAAAATCAAAGTTTGCCATAAATCAAGTCTTTTTAATTTTACCTCCCTAACAGATTATTACTTTTTTAACTAAAAATAAAGAGAATTTAAAAAAAAATTAAAAAAAAATTGTTACAGTGGCGTAAAAAAGAGAATAAAAGTTGCCACTAACCGCCACTGGTTGAAATATTACTTTCTTAAAGAGCACATTGGTCACCAAATTAAAAAAAATATTTAAGGTCATTTTTAATTTATGGTAAATTTTTAATTTTTATTTCAAACTTTCGACATCCTCTGCCTGGGTAACTAAGCCCTTAAGGGTTCATGTTTGTGTAACCAAATTCATCAATTACCGAGAGCTTCCTGGGGTAGAGCGTTGTCGGTCGAATATAGTGACACCCTGTATAAAGCGATCAATTTTTTTACAAATATGAAAAATAGAGTAAAAATATTTTTGTTGATATTTTTGGAAATTAAAATAGTGACGACCCTTACAGCCACATGATTTAAACTTAAGTCGTTAGTGGTTTCAATTAAATCCAGAAGAACTATTGGCTAATTAAACTTTTTCGACTATTTATCTTCTTTCATAGAAGAAATAAAGAACAGTAACATTTTTGGACAGGCAGGCTTGGTCCCTGCTAAAAATCACACTTTTTTAAGCGGATATAGAATTTGAAAAAAAACCTGAAGAACGCAAATCACGATTGTTTGCACTCTTGTAGGTATTCTTAAGAGAATGTATTTCTTATTTTTTGTTATCTGAAAGAAGGGAGCAGAGAAAAATTTTGGGAAATTGTGTTTCAGAAGGAATTCTTAATAGCTATTTTTGCTGAAGATAATGGATGATAATCTTACAGGGAAGTTTTGGCATTGTTGTTTCTTGGCCCAGTAAATAGTTTCTGGTACGAGATACGTGGACTGTACTGATGTAATGGGATAATAATAAATCTTTCTTTATGTTTGGACTTACCTTAAGGTATGTAGCGGGTAGTGAAGATCTGGCCGGCCGGCAGTATTGGCACTTTTATACCAAAAAATGCGTTGATTTGTTGATGGAAAAAAGGTTCCCAAATCGTGGACCCCTCTCAAATAGTAATGAGATGAAACTGGCGATTTTCGTCCGAAACATAAGGTAGAAATGAATCGATTACAAAAATTAAAATAAAAAAAATAAAATGTTCAAAAACAATGTGAGCCAATCCGCAATAGGCATTTTCTTAAAATATGTTTTTTATAGTAGGTAGCAGGTAGGGCGTACCCCGTACAGTACCGCTTTGTACTTGATACTATGCTATGAGTTGGATGAAAGCAATGTCAGTGTTGATTAAACCTTTAGGAACGCCTCTATCCATTCAGCCACATAGCGCTTTAAGGAGATTGGTTCGATTTTTCCTTCAATCAAGAATGAGTAGGACATCGTCGGCTAACCAGTTAATAGTATAGTTGAATCGCACTCCAGATATTCAAGTTCTGTCCATCTCACAGGAACGTTGAAGTGACTTTTTGGGAGATTGGTTAGGAAGATTGGATTTTGAGGGCTTGAATACGATAAATTTTGTTTTTTTTTTGTTTGCTCCAACAATTGTATGAATCCGGAAGATTTTGGGTTCGAGTAGTTAGAGTTAAAGCTCTAGGGATACTATAGTAGATAAAGCGGTGTCATCCGAAAATATGTAGTTGGAAGTGGGAGTGGCCGTGTTAAGGGATCGGGAAAATGACGTAGGAACTAGATTGATCGAAAGCTTTCTAAACGTTAACAAGGATATTTGTGATATGACATGTTTGTTCTCACAAAAGTCCCAGGTCCTTTTCTGGAATATAGGAGTGGTGGTAAAACTTTATGAGTTTCGGATTTTGCCTGGTGTGGGATTAATAATGGTATGAGATGATTTCCAGGCAAGTTAAAAGCAGGATATGGATAGCAAGGAGTGTGACTAAGGTTTCTTTTGGAAATGCTTGAGTGTGCTGTTAAAATTATAAAAAAAGTAATATAATTAAATATAAAATATTATTTTAAAATAGATTTCAGTAGACTACTTAATATTTGTAAAAATTTTACCTCAATTCTTAGAATTGTTTGTAATTATTTATACTTTAAGGAATAATCATTTAATTGAAACAAAAAACGTGGCTGTTTAATATCTATACAAATCTACATGAACGAACATTTCTTAAAATTGAACTAATAAGTATTTAATTATGAATATAATCAAAAAAATATCTTAATTTATTTAAAATTAGTTTTTTTACTATAAAATTTAGCCACTTTCTTTGTCCCAGTTTATTTTTATCTATAACAATAATAATTTAATGTATTTGCAAACTGTATTTTTCAAGATAATCAAGAACTTAATGTTGCAGGCAGACCCAACAAGTGTCGACCCCGGAAAACTCTCTCCAAATCGGGTAAGACGTCAAGCACAAGGTCGTTCAATGTCAGTTCAGAGCACAGATCCCTACGGATCTAACACGACATTGAGCAGCAGCCAATCCAGTGAGCTAGCTTCTTCAGATGGCAAGCATTCTTCCAACTAACATAAGGCCACTGCTGCGCCTCCACCCCCTCCTTCGATATCTGTATCACCCTCCCCCAAGCACTACCCCATACAACCCCCCGCCGTCACAATATCATCCTCCTCGCCGTCCTCCACTCCCCAATCTTCACCAGCTCATTCTTTTACTTTTACAATTGTTTTGAAGAAAGTTACTCCAAAAGAACATAAGGAAACAACTTCTTCAGAAAATCTTGTATAATTTGCTTATTATAACAACCAAGTAAATTCTGGAATATGATAAATATGGCTTCATTTCAACATTATCAATTAGCAATTTTCATTGGTTCGAAGTATTACAACATTTTGGTAATTTATTTTTGATTTTATACATTAAAAAAGAATTATTATCCATACTAGACAGTGGCGCATCCCGAGTTTAAGTCTGGGCTGGATACAGGGGCGGCTCATGAGCAAAAATTTGGGGGTTCACAGTAGCAGAATATAGATCCCGATACAGATATAAGTAAAAAACTGTCAGTGTTTTAGAAAGGTATATTATAAACTTGCTAAAACACTGAAAGTTTTTTCATACATTTGTACTGATACCTATATTCTGTCACTGTGAACCACCCCACGAGCCGCCACTGGCTGGATAGTGGTAATTTTTAAGACTTTATTTCTGATAATACATTTTTAGTATCTATAGAAATTCTTGGGGTTTAATTACCTCCATTACCCCCCGTATATGCGCCATACTAGGAAGATATTTGTGATAATTAAAAATCTTTTTCCAGAGTTTATTGGTATTCATAATAAAAACTACAAGTTTTGAAAATCTATACAAATTCATGAGATTGTTGAATTTATTCAATTCATGCTCGTATTATATTTTTTACGTATTATCTGAATAAAAAACAGGTATAAATACTTTTTGAAATTGATAATCTTAAATAATGATTAAAATTGATAACGTGACCTGTTCTATTGTTTTTCCTACAATTGAACGAAAAGTACACTTTTTATTCAACAATCTTATGCCATTTTTAATTAAAATTTTAAAAAATTAATTATTTTGTTTTCAATATTAATAAAATCGTTTAATCAAGTGATATTGATATTATCTAAGGCAATAATCGGATGAAAGTGAAGGTAATGTTAAATTTGAAGGAAATATTATTGGTGTTGCAAAAAAATGATTTAATGATTTTCGTGGAAGAATAATAATAGATAATTGAAATACACCCTACTATTATTTCATAAATCAAGAGATATAAGGTCCGCTTATAAAACTAAATAGGTCGATTTTTCTTGATCTTCATTTTCAAAAAGAGCAAAATATGGTCTAAAGGTGTTTTATTTGACAATAAATAAAATTTTCAATCCAACGTTATGTTTCTGCTATTTTTACAAACAAAGGCACCTAGGCCAAAAGAAAATAAAATAAAATCGACCTTTTTAGTTTTCCTTAAATATCCTAAAAACCGGAACATGAGCAATAGTGTCTATTTCAATTGTCTATACGCCATTTATTTAAAATAATTCAGTTCCTGAAGAATATCGAAAGCCTATTTGGAATTAGGATTTGAGTAAAGAAACAAAATTCGTTTTTACATAAACATTGGGAAATAGGCTAATATTATTTTGATTGGGTCGTACATCAACGAATTAAATGGCTATAGAAAAGAAATCAAACTAGGAATTGGATTCAATAATAAGCAAAATTTTATGTAGGTAGTCGGAATTTGTTTACAAATATTGGGAATACCTATGCATACTTAAGTGCTGCATTTCTCTATTTTTTGTACGGTGTAGGCTTGGACTCTAAATATGTAATGGTTGAACAAATTAGAGGCGTTTGAGATGCGGGCCTGTCAAAATATTTTAAAAATCCCGTGGGTTAAAAAAAAACTAATGAATAAATACTCAACAGAATTAGGAAAATATTCAGGGTAGATGTAGCATTGGAAGAAGAATGTCCTGGCTGAAAAATCTTAGTGAATGGTTAAGATGTGACTTCTATCAATTTAAAAGTGTACGATGATTTCAGCGATACCTTCCGGCAAATAAATTGAATTATACCAGTCAACATTAACTGCCCTTCTATACTTAACAACAATTTATATATTTTTAATTAACTAACTTCTGCTGAAACTGTTAGTTTTAAAATCGAACTGTCCTCTGAATTATAGGTTAAAAACGCCAAAGCGAACTTTAGTAGTGCTTATTTTTGGTACTATGCTGTATTTCCCAATGTTTATGAAACAGATTTCAATTTCATCATTCAAAATATAAATAATAAAAAATCATCTATTTGCATAATAAACCTAAAATATATCTTTCAAAGATTGTTTATTGTTGGAAAGGTTTATATATACGTATTAAAGATCTATTAAATTAAAAATTCTAGCTCAAAATTACAACGATGTTGTTATCATACATATCTATTAGGTCCACTAATTGATTGGAATCGTCTAAAAAAATATTAAAAATTGTCTTCATGTAAAATAAAAGAATGAGTTAACTTTACAGATCTAATTATTCTGAAATTGGCGAACTTAAAACTTAAAAGCCGAAGGACATGTTTTTTCGGTATTACGAGCAATTAAATGTAGTTAATAAATAAATATCTTAAATATACCCAAAACATTGTGACTATGTACATCATGATCCATTAACTATTTATTGTTATTATCACAAAAATCCTTATGAATTGTTGTAACGTCTAGTCCCCACACAATTTGCTTGGTCAAATTAAAAAGATGTTCATAGACGTTTATTATGGTTATCTCAAAATTACATGTATGTCAATTTTATAATAAGTTACCAATGGAAGTATTTATTTTTTCTGGTTCATTTTGAATAAATAATTTTTAAATCAATAGTATGAGAGCCAGCGACTGTCAGACCTACGTTATAGTATGAGGGTTGGGTGTTATGAATCTTGACTACGGGTAAAGAACCCTTATATTTTAAAATATAGAAAAATGTTACTTGAAAAACCTATTAAAAATCATTATTTATTAGCAAATATGAAAAATTAAAATTAAAATTATTTTATTCATTCAGAAAATTATGGTTGGATTCTAACAAAAAATCTTTACTCTCGAGCAAAATTATTTTTAATATGTATGAAGTTTGCACTGTATTTTTAGTCATGTTGTAACGTTTCTTCTTAAGAGTATAATTTACTGAGAAATGAACAATCAAAAAATGTTTCCTCCGATTGACCTTAAATGTCACTTTTAGTGACATTTTTTGATCATAGAAGTAACACTTTTACTACCTAGACATTAAAAATTATTTTTGCTGTCTTAGCTCTACATGATCCAGCAAAAAAGTAGGGTGGCAATTACGTATACAATTGAATAAGTCCCTATTATACCAGAAAATAATATAAAGTACCTAGGGGTCATATTGGATAGAAGCTTGTTATATAAGGAACACTTAGAAAACGTAGTGACTGAATTAAAGGTTATGGCCGTTAATAATAAAGGAGGACCTATGGAAACAAAGAAAAGAGAAGAGATTTGGAAAAATGATTTGCAAAGAAAAATGATATCACAATTACAAAGAACGATGGCGATCGAAATCTGCAGAGGATATAAAACAATATCTATGGAAAGTAGCCTCGTTATCTCCGGAATTATAACCATAGACTGATTGAAGAAAGATGTGAAGTTCAAGATAAGTGCATAGTTAAAAAGAAAGGAGCTAAAATAAATACTTTAGTAACGTGGCAGAGAAAATGGGAAACCTGTGAAAAAAAAAAAGATGGACAATCACACTCACCTTATATTGAAAAATGGAATAAACGGAAACTAGGAAACGTCATAATTTCATATTACTCAATGTCTAACTGGCCACGGCTGGTTTATGAAATACCTGAATTAGGCATTCCAACGACCTGTCCAAATGGCTACCAGTGGGTAATGACAGTTTAGATATGGCAACCCTGTTGTCAAGTTGTCATTAACAGGGTCAATGATACATATATAGTTATATAGATTGCTCAAAGCTGGTCGTTTACGAGCGGCCATATTGCCTGGAAAATATTTATTAATTTGAATCGGTTTAGAAAAAATGTGTTTTAAAACTAATTTTTAGCCTTTAGACATTAAAAAAAAAATAATTGCTTACATTTTTACTTCAAGGCATAAGCTTATGTTTATTTTGAAAAATATGGATGATCAATCTATGTAACTATCTATTTCATTGACCTTGTCAAATCACCAGGCCTACAGGGTTGCCATAATTTTGCTATATCATAACCCGTCAAAAACCACTGGTAGCCATTCAGTTTGGAATACCTAATAGATTAGGGGTGACTAAGCATGTACTGTCCGAATTTGGATACAGTAGAGCATACCCTGTTTCAATGCAGAGAATGGAGAGAGATCAGGCTAGAGCTAGAAGAACGTATTGGAATTAGGCTCTCTAAAGAAAACATTTTAGACGTCATGACCAGTAACATATAGCAATGGCAATATGATGAAAAGGATACTGGGACAAAAGGAGAGAGATTCTAGAAAAAGGAATATATGAACATACCCTATCAACTTGTTAAGAAGTACCTGCGACCATCTTTACATCACGTCTCTTCGAAGTTATGCGGGCTGGTGATTCCGAGGAGTCATTCATGTGAAAAAGAGTGAAAGTTTTTTAGTCGGTAGAAATCCGGTACTATTAGACGTCTCGGATATCCAATGTCTTTTGAAGATTTTGTTACCACTCTCAATATATATAAAAAAAACTATTAAATCATGCAATTAATGCAATTGGTGCATATTTCATATTATATTATCATCTTTCGGTAGACATATGAAATCTACTCGAAAATTATAAAATACGATCAGAATAAATATTAAAAATGCGTGAGTTATATCTGTTATACTTAAAAGAGATTTTTATTTTAGTTCTATTTTTTTAAACACACTGCATAAACAATCGGAGAAAAAATTATATGTTTTACATAGCAAAGAAACGGATTTACTGCCGCAACTAGCATCGGCTTCGCCTCGGCAATGAAACTAGCCTGTTACTGTTACTTATTTGCCTAGTTAAACAAATAACTATTCTATAGGGTGTGGGCGTTTTTCGACATAGTACATACAAAAATATCCTTTAAATAATACTACGATTTCATAATAATAGACAGTGGGAAAATTTCAGGAATATCTAACAGAGTTGCCATATATCGAAATTTCTTTCATTATAAAAATTATTCAAAAAAAAAAAAAATGTTTAAAATACATAATTGTTGTTAACACTATCTATCATGCTTAAAATTATTTCATTATTTGTCTCAGGGGTAAATTACAATATTTAAATTTTTAGGTACCTTATTTGAATCTAAAAACATAAAACACACAGGTCACCTGCAAGTGGTTGATCGGTTTGTTACACGTTGCTATATGTCAGGGAATTTGTTTTCTCTCGCATTTTTTGCCATGCAATAAAACGGACACGTTTGAGTTATCCGATATAGAAAATTCAACGTCGATGTTATTTAATTTGCAAAGGCAAAAATCACATGTGAGTTCAGTTATACCAAT